GTGTGCCTTAGGCCCCTTTTACAGGAGTGTCATCAGTTAAGGTTCCCAGATAAAAAAAAAAAAACTGATGAAATCTGAGTCAGTTTACATCAGTTTGCACATCCGTTGTCAGTTCAGTTTACATCAGTATTTTTTGTTATTATAGTATAGTAAATTCCCATGATTCTTTGCTTTCCCCCAGTATGCATTGAGCTTGTCATGCTGTATTATGACATCAGTCCCCAAAAAAACGGATGTAACCTGGTCATCAGCTTACATCAGTTTAAATCAGGATACATCAGTCCCGTTCAGTCAAAACGGAGAGTTGATCCGTCTCACATTGCGGACCTCAACTGTCACTGATGTTTCCTGATGTAAATTGATGGTCATCAGTTTTCATGCGTACTGCCATAGAGATGCATTGTTGTCCGTTTTTCAACCTGATGTGTGAAAGGGGCCTAAAGCTGGGGGGAGCTAATTGTAGATGCATAAAGAGGTCACTCTCACCTGAAGGTACTGCCAGCTGACAGATGTGTTAAAGCCTCCTGTAGCTTCCCACCTTCCACCTCCCACCTTGTTGTTGCCATGGCTTAATTAGAAGAGGTTTACCTGGCTGGTGAAAAACAGTATCTGTATGCCTCCAGCAGGCCTAGGTTAGATGGATGTCTATCCTAACCTTATGGTTAGGACAGGCTTTGAAGTCATGTTATATTGGGTGCTCACAGTATGTCTGTAGCTGGGACTGGTTTTTGTGTTGTCAACTACAAGTTTTATTGTAGGACTATGTCTGTTCTATCAATAATGATGTAGCCTTGCACTTCCAACCAAGAACATTCTGATAGATCTGATACAGTGATACATTCTGATAGATTGTAAGTGGAAAGGGTATATTCCACGTTGTGGTTGATACAAACTCATTATGCCTATACTGCTTAAGCCCTGGTTCACACCTAGGCATTTTTGAGCAGTTCGAACAGCGCTTTTAACTGCCCAACACAAGAAATCCCATGATTTTCAATGGCCCTGGTTTGCCTAGCTTTGGGCAGTTAAAAGCACTTTTCCTCCCCATAGACTTCATTGGAAATGCCCAAAAACGCGCAACAGAAGCATGTTGCACATTTTCGTGAGCGTTTTTGCGCATTTATACCATTATACAAGCTGCCAATCAAAATGCGTGTCTTCATGTACGTGCATACAAATGTGCACAACGCGCATAAACGGCGCGTAAATAACCGCATGCTGCTAACGCACGTACAAACGTGCAAAAATGGTGCTGCCTGGGTGAGAACCAGGGCTTACAGTTTAAGCACAGCAAAGAAGCTTGCTTTGTAGCTCCCTTTGATGAAAGCATGGTACTGAGCCCTGTGATAAGTGTTGAGTCATTGCTATGATGACTCACTGAGTTCTAGAAAGGTGAAAAACGATCAAATTAATGACATGAAAAGAGCTCTATCTTCTGGTTGAATAAAGGACTACCTGATAATAATATGCAAAATGTAATGTTTACCTGACTAAAAAAAGGTAGTCCTGTCATAATAAAGAAAGCAGATAGGTACAAAACCACTATACATTTCCTTTACATTTTTGTGCAGTGGAGGCAACACAGGTCTGTTATGTGAATTCATGAAATTCAATTCCAAACCCTAGCTCTATATGACTGTTTATGAATTGTGTTTAAACTTTAAAGAATAAATGCAGCTTTACACCAAACATCAGATCTCCCCTACCCCACCCAGAGCTAGAGAACTGTCTTTCACCTTGGGTCCTCGAAGTGTCCATAAAATCCCATTCATACTCTTGCTTTGGTCATGAAAAATCATGGCTGCCCCATTTCTAGCTCTGTGACTATTTCAAGATGATAGCTTTACTTTTCAATACCAGGATGTGCTGGATGGTAAGGGATGCTAGAAATGCCAAAGGTGGAAAAAAATTACCCCTACATAGGCAGTGTAGACTTGCTTTCCTGCACAACACAGGTATTATATTTGCTTACATTTACATTTTTGAGCGGGCAGAGGGGTATTATCCTCTAAACAATACCCATACTTCCTAACATTTTAACATTTCAAATCAGGACAAATGTAAATACCAGTTTACCAGAGTACCAGAGTCAATTTAATGCTGTCATTATGTTTTTTGCTGTCATTATGCTGTCATTATTCTTTTTTACATTACTTTCTTGTGAAAATGTTCAGTTTGCAATCTAAAACATCACATAGATCTTTTTTTCTATACTGGAAATGGATAATGAACTACTGACCGTCTCTGTTTCTCCTAAATGGGTAATAGTAGTTTACAATCTTTTCCTGCTCTCCTCAATAGACACCTCACAGATCCTCACAATTATCTACAGGTAGAACTAAGTTATACTTCAAAGAATAAATGTACTTTTAGACAAAGTACACTTATGCTTATCATCCGCTTACCCTGACCTAAACTACATCACCCTTGCCCGTCTGCAGATTTATGCTTACTGAGCTCTGAGGAGTCGAACTGCTGCTCCGCTGTTTGTTGACATCCAGCGCTGCAAGTCTCCCTCTCCTGGCCACATAGAAGTCTATGGGGCTATAATGTTCAGGTCCAGACAGCAGACTGAGCATTGCAGCTCTGGATGTAAACAATAGAGACACCGTACCCATTAGATCTTGGTAAGTACGGATCTGAGGAGGTTGGGATCATGTAGGTCACGGTTGGGGGGCAAAAAGGATAAGAGACCTTTGTTTTCAAAGTAAGTGTTAAAATACTGCAAGATTGAATAAAATACTGCAAACGTAATTTGCTTTGATAACTATGTGATATTTCTACACAGATGATAACAATACCACGCAACAAAGCATATAGCATATGCAGTAAAGCTTTTGTGAACTGAACCCATTGTACAATGTATTCCATCCAGATTCCCCCAATATACATCCATACACACACACGCGCGTTATAAAGGCACCGCACCCAGTCTAGGAATGGAAACTTTCCTGGCAAGACTATGGATGCTTTGTAGAAGCCGCTGCTTCTCTGCTCACAATAGACCCTACATAGGACTGACTTGTATATATACTTATAAGTAAAGCTGTCTGCTATACTCAGCAGTCAGCCCCTTATTTTCATGCTCATATGGGCAACTCTAACAGTTTTTTTGTTCAGACACTTTTGATATATGAGGCTCAGTATTCACACACCATGGGAACCCCGAAACTTGCTTGTACCTAAGCTCTTCCTCCTAAATTTTACTCCAACAGAACTAACCAAGCAAATGTTAGGAATATGCGTTCAGCCAGACACCATACAGACAAGGTTAGCACCATTTTTACAGCTGCAGTAAGTGGCAGGAGTCATTATATAGGTGTGTTTTATAGACATTGTAATTAGTGACAGAGTGAGCAGAATAACAGGAGATACTGGGAAGAGTTACATGGAAGACTGACAAGCATTACATGGACTCATAACATAAGACAACACAAAGGTCATAGAGGGGAGCTCTAATAAAATTATCCAGGAAACACAATTGAAGATCATGAGGCAGTTGGAATCATTCCAGCACAGCATGTGTGTCAGACATAGATTACACTGAGTAATATTATTGGTACATTTATAAAATCAATGAGCTGACAAATGGTATTCTGATTTCAATTAAAATCTAAGTATAAGATACACAAGGGGCTCGATATACAGCAGCAGTATGATCCAACCGCATGCATACCGCCGCTTTTTTTTTTTTTTTTTACCTCCTCCTGCACATTTATAAAGCACTGTTGTGTGTGCTCTTTATAAATGGATTTCTGGTTCAGGGTTCTAAATGGGGAAAAAAAAGTCTGGAGGAGGAGGAGGAAATCTGTCACATGACCGGTTTAAGGTCATGTGACAGGGCAATCCTCCTATCCAGCAGTGTTCTCTAAAATATTATGCATGAGAACACATACTGCAGGACATCAAAGACTTCAAACTGTGCTCTATATGTAATACAATAAGCATAAAATGCAGCGCAGTATGGAGTTTTTATATTGATGTTTTGTTGTAGGGTGAAGAGGAGATTATGCTGCACTATATAAAACATAATCTTTCTATGTAGGAATTGGCCCTTAAAGCCCAACTCTGGCACAAGCCACTAAAAGGGTTAATTGCTCATTAAGTCTAGGGGAGCAGGGATAAGGAGACATTTCTTACCTTAAGGTGGCCATACACTGTGCACATTTCAGCCAATTCTTGATGAACCGGCCAAAATTCGCACAGTGCCACTGTCAGCACCCTTTCGGCAGGCATCAGCTAATCGAAGGAGCTGGTCGGAAAACCTTCAAATGAACAGAGCGGACAGCCATTGAGCTAATGGTTCTGTTCAGGTATTCTGGCAATGGGTGCCACCAGAATACAAACCAGCAGCGGGAGATTCCTCGATCAACGGGTGTAAGCATTTATAGAGGAATCTGTTCTATTTTTTCATTCAGCACAGTCATTTTATTCACCTTTAATTCACCCAAAACTGTTATTTTAGTTTTGCATTGATGTCCTTGTATTCTTATATCTCTAGGGTATGAGAGCAGCGCAGTTTCTCAAGTCCACAGTCATTACTATGGGGCTTTTACACTTCTCATTGTTTTTTTTTAAATCTATTATAGATTGAGAAGAATGCCAAAGATGGTGTAAGGGGATATGTGTATGTCAGGCACACATGGATCCCATGTGTTACCTGTCATTGAGTGGATAGGCCTGCTTGACAGTAACAAGTGTCATGGCACATTAATACATGTTGGGCAGCTGGGGAGTGCTTGGTAGCGATGAGCAAAGCACCTTGGTGTCCAATTTGATGCCCATGAGCACAGGTTGTAACACTCATTGTCTGAGGTGGAAAGCTAATAACTTTGCACAGATATGTTGCCTTTGTAGTCTCTAAGAGATATAAGAAGCTTGTACGTGATTTACTCCCGAATTCTCACTGCAAAAACAAATGATCAGGTTTGGATGGATGGGACCTTTAACTGGTCAGTATATCTGACTACCTGCTAAATGTTTTATGCATTGGAGCCTACCTTTGAAGCCATTTTCCATGATGTATGTATTCTGACGTCTGTCCATCGTACAGGCACCTAGTATAACAAGCAAGACATAGAAGTCACTAGACAGACATACTTTATACAGACACACAGGTCAAATAGTTCTGAGATATGAGCCAAAAAACAAAGTGTTTCTTAAGTTGGTAGTTTTGGAAATTGAACCTGTGACACTTTTAGAAAGTTAGTTGGTTTTGTAGTTCCTAGATATGCAGCACATATACCACAGAAATGTATTGTTACAAACAACTATATATCCCCATTTATGCAGCCATGTGACTAAATATAACAGTGCCCATACAGATAATTGGGCAGTGATAACAGGTCTATGTTTGTGTGGCTCCTGATAGTGGAGACTTTCAGATACATACCAGGATACAGAATTACCAAAATGGTGGGAGGATGTAGTAGTGTGAGGACTCTTGTAAATCAGAACAATTATCAGGCTTTCTGACTTGTCTGTATTGGCAGCTTCAGACAGCTTCACACATTGTGGTCACTATGTCGCTCTGAAGAAGGGACCCTGTGTGGTCCAAAAAGTTGGCTTATTTGACTAATGCGACATATTAATATACTGAGTGTACTTTGCATCTTTAAGTACTGAGTGCTGGGGACTTCTTCTTGTTATCTTCTGTGGATTCACGATGCCATCCATGACTGTCACTACGAGCACCACCTTACTCAATTGGCCGCAGTGCTGTATGGAGTACAGCTGGCATCTACACTTTCTTAAGGAATCCAAATGGGGTTCACAGTTATTTTTGTTGTCCTCAAAATTACTAGATATGATATTCATTTTACTGGATCCCCAACATCCATTTGTGGTCTCAGGAGAACGACAGACAACTGGCATCCACAATAAAGGTAGACTGACACATAGGTGGAAATATAGAAAAAGGTTTGACCATCTATGCCAGGGGTATCCAAACTCCGGCCCTCCAGCTGTGGTGAAACTACAAATCCCATGATGCATCTCTCTCCGCGAGTCATGTCTGTGGCTGTGAGAATCTTGCAATGCCTCATGGGATTTGTAGTTCCACCACAGCTGGAGGACCGGAGTTTGGTTACCCCTGATCTATGCTGTAATTTATAACAATACAGCAAGTACACTGATCTGCCTTTTTCTGCACACCACCACACATGTATGATATGAATAGGGAACATAGAAAACAATTGTTACAGAATTACAGAAAACAGTATGTATAAAATATCACTATGATACAACTACTTCTAATCTTTTTTTCTAGGGGTACCAACAGATGTGCCCTGTTTACACCACATACATGTGCTGTGGTGAGCATGAAAATGCAGCTCAATAGACATGGTGTGAACAATCCTAACTGTTTTTCTCTTTTTAAATGGCATTAATTGCACTAAATTAAAAAGAGGATGCTAAATAGATTACTGCTTCATTAAGTACGGTAGATATAATCACTATTTGCTTTGGAACTTTCCTCAAATGAGTTATTTGTAGTCTTGTTCAAACAGGGAAATAGCTGATATGAGAAAAGCACCTCTTGCAGTGCAATGTTGATTACACAGGCGCCATATTACATGTAAAAGCATTAGCAGCTCTGCTAGGACAAACTCCACATTATTTAAAGGTGCTGTAAATGGTTACATCATTGTGTGCTCTAATTCCTGGGGAGGAGAAGAATGAGGACGTGGAGGACGGTCACTGGAGTTCATTGAAGTGACATCATTATGAACACTAGAATGTTTTATGGAAATGTCATTTCCTGATCATAAAGATCTTCTATACTGTATTCTTTTCAGCACAGCGTTCTCACAGGCGCAGTACTGCCTATTCATGTAGGAGCCATTTAGTAATGGTTAGGGCAAAGCTACATAACACAGCATTAAATGTGAATCAGAGGACCTGAAATTCCAATGGAGCTGCAGAGCTACAGATTGTATAATTTACTTTTTTTTTTAAATTAAAGTGATATTAAAGTAAAAAGGTTTTTAAGCTATCTGAAATGGTGATTAAATCGCTTATAATGGATGTTGCTCCTTGATGTTTCAAGTGACACTAAACTCAGGAACTAAATCTTAAAAATGCATTCAACAACCTTAACTACTAACAAAAATTATCTTATTGGTGCATCACTCGGCTGTAGATCCGCAAACCATCTCTGAGTTGGTGTTGACAATATCCGTCCTTCTGGAGGGTGGCTACTTTTGTTCCCCATGGTCCCTGTGTGTGTTGTAAAGTAGTCACCGCTCCAAGCTCACTCCTGTGATGGACTACAATCTCATGTTTAGTTTACCAATTTGTATTGAGATAATAGTCTCTGCATCCATGTGAATTTTTGTTTTACTTTAACCACTTCAAGACCAAGTGTTTAGACCCCCTTCCTGGCCAGGCCATTTTTCAGTATTCAGCGCTGCGATACTTTGACTGACGTTTATTCCGTCATGCAACGCTGTACTGAGATGAATTTTATACCATTTTTTGGGGACAGATAGAGCTTTCTTTTGGTGGTATTTAATCACCGCTACGGGTTTTATTTTTTATTATAATTAGAAAAAAGTACTGAAAATTTTGTGAGCGGACGTCTAGAGACGCCCGCTCAGATCGAGAGAGCTCCTGGCCGGCCGTTTTTTTACTACGGCCGGCCCGGAGGTAGTTAAATAATAATTGTACTTTACCTCAACCGCCCGTTACCCCAGAGCTATTTTAGAAACAAAATTATACTCCTCCTTCTGAGAAATACTATTCAAGTAACTCAATACCTCTAATAACGATGTAAATTAGTGCAAATAAGTACACTTCACTTCTTGAGCATGGTGCAGTACTTGAACGGGAATGGAGCAGATAGAAAGAGCCCAGTGCAATTATCCAGCACAAATGGCTTCACCTTGATTTCTGCCCAGGGCTCCTTTTATTAAAAAAAAAAAGGCTTCGCTTTCACACAGACTTCACAAAAAATATGTGTTCTTTTTTAAGATTAGCTATTACCTAGCAACTGCCAATCATTGGGCTGTACTCTCAACATCAAAACACTTCAAAGCATTGCACTACATTGCTTTAAGGAAGGGTGTTACTTTTTTGTATTCTTTGCATAGTTACTCAGGGCCTCATTTTTTAAATTTCCACCCAGCATAGATGGCACTAGCTCCCCTAGATGGGGTCGGCGAGTAGCTGATAAAGACGGTGTCTGTTCCTGTGCTGCCTGTACCTCTTCTAGCACCACAACTTCCTCTCCACAGCAGCCAGTAGCTGCTGTCAGCATATAATGAAGACAGCGGAGGATTCCTCCATCCATGTTCGTAAATGTTGATGGAGGAATCTGTTATATTTTCTTTGTTCAGCTCGCAGACCCCAACAATTTGCAGTTAATTTTGTTCCCACTGATACCAATTAATGGGGGGTCATGGGGTTAATTTTGCTCCCTCTGACATCAACAATTTGAGGATTATTTTATCCAGCTGACAGCAACAATTGGCACTTAATTTATTATATTACTTATGTAGCGCTCACCCCCGAAGGAGCCCCTGAATGCCCGGTTCATCTCTAGTCTGTCTAGGGTATGTTCTTCAGCTGCCCACCCATTAGCATTAACCGCCCTTCTTCTTATGCCCACAATATCTGATGTCCACTCCACTAGTATAATGCAGAATAACTTTTACGCTTCCAGGGTGTAACATACATTGACTCCAGACTAACCAGATCTGGTAGGCATATAAGTGTAGATACACTTGGGAGGCAGCGGATAGCAACTGAAGTAGCATATGAGCAAGGATGAAAACAAATCCTCAACATGAAAGACACCGGCCATGTCCTCTGAGTTCCAGGATACTTCACGAGCCATCATTGGTCCTGGGTCTCTTCCTCTAACAGTAACACAGGCCTCCTCCATGTTGGAGGCCTCAGGGAAACATTTCCCTCACACCAGCCTATGCCCACACCCAGGCCTAAGGCATTGCCTGGGGGGCCGGCTGAACAGCACCCAGCCCTAATCCATGGCTGGTCCTGACTAGTCTGAGCACATGGCAAATCCCTCCAGTATATGTACCCTATCCCGGCATGCACCACTGGTTGAGAGAAACTCAGTGATTGGCTGTTGTACTGTACATACACTATAGCATCTCTCATTGGCTGTCCCACAATATGACAGAGTCACATTTCGCCCAGGGGGGTACAGGCAATGCCAGACACCTGGAATTAACCAGATAACTGCCACTATAATTCTAGCCAGGCTGACTACAGCCCGGGCTATCACTAAATGCCTAGTAGCCACATCACAGAAGGTGATGGGGGCTACACTTACATCAATGATATGGGACTTATTTCACTATCAATGGGATTTATTGATCCTACTGACACCAACCATGTGGGGTTTACTTTATAATAATAATAATAATAAATATTATTATTATTGGTATTTATATAGCACTGACAATTTACGCAGCACTTTATATGGTGCACATTCACATCAGTCCCCCTCAAGGAGCTTACAATCTAAGGTCCCTATGACACAAGCATACATACAAGGGCCAATTTAGAGAGGAGCAAATTAACCTACCATTTGTCTTTGGAGTGTGGGAGGAAATCGGAGTACCCGGAGGAAACCTACACAAGCCCTGGGTGAACATGCAAACTGGGTGGGATTCTAACCAGGGACCCCCAGCGCTGCAAGGCAGAAGCTTTCGTTTATTTTATGCCACCAATACCAACAATGTGGAGTTTATTTTATCCCACTGATACCGATGATGTGGAGTTTATTTTATTCCACTGATACCAATGATGGGACTGTTTTTGGCTTCCATGCTCTCTTCAGTCTATATCCAGACCCTATTTGATCTAAAACATAGTAAAGCATAGGGGGTGAGGTGCCACATTTCAAGCCATAGGTAGTGAAGTCACACTCATTGATTGGCCACACAAACTTTGACCGGTGATGCGTTTTGAGCTGATTTTTGTTCTCAAAACCTTTGATGTGTCTCTCATAATTATTTCTAAATGTTGGCAGGTCCTCACTCCTCTCTCTGTGGTATTCAGTGAGCTAGGTGAACTTGTGACCACCTGGGTA